GCACTTAACAACAACAACATTGTTGTTAGGTGCCATTGAAGCTGCCATTTTGCCAATCCATCTAGTTGGGGGCCTTCCTCTTTTTTTCTGACCCTCCACCTTACCATACATGATATCCTTCTCCAGTGACTGGTTCCTCCTGACAATATGTCTGAAGTATGAGAGGAGAAGTTTGGCCATTCTGGCTTCCAAGGAGCACTCTGGCTGCACTTCTTCCAACACAGATCTGTTGGTTCTTTTCGCAGCCCATGGCACTTTCAGTATTCTCCTCCAACACCATAACTCTAGTTGATGACAGTAACTACAGTCAATTCCAATAGTTTTAAAAGAATCAAAGACGATGTGTTATAGGTGAAAGACCCTCATTGATTCCTCTAAAGCTAGAAAATCCCTTCCAAATTAAATAGACATTTGGGGATATATTCCTTATGATGACACTAGAACAAGAAAAATGTGGGAAGGCCTGGAGCAGAAGTCAGGGTTACAGGATCTCCTAATGGGACCGGGAAGAAAATCCTACAGAGCTGTAAACTTTGTTACACCAGAGAGTGTCTAGACCCATAGTTGTAGGACCTAAAGGAAGACCCATATGGGAGGAGGGAGCGACCTCTGAGTCTGGACACTACTGCTCATATCATTTGTCATCCATAATAGTGGTTGCTACCTGAGTTCAAGATTATGCCAGAGCTGTACTTCTGAAATAAGCTTATCTAAGGCTTCAAAGTTACGGGCCATGGTCAACAAGCCTGTGTTTGCTTTGATCTGGCTATACCTGTTGTCTGTCTCCAAGAAAATAATGATACCCAGGAAACAAGGCTGTAACAATAACCTGGGGGTAGTAAGTTATCACCAGATTAATGAAATGGTCTTGTTTGGAGACTAAGTCCTCTTAGTTCTTCCAGCAGATGGTTTTGGAAAGAATACCATTTGCTTGGATGCCACACTGTCTCCTACCCAATAATGCTTGAGAGTTTACAAAGAGTTTTTAAAACAAATGCTCTTCTTTGGACTTTAAAACACACTGTTATAAACAGCATCACATCCCTTTGACAGTTGAGGAAGCTAAGTCTCAGAGTTTTAGTAATACTTAATACAAGAGCTACAGGAAGAAGAACACGAAAAAGAGGACGAGGAGGAGGAGGAAGAAGAAGAAGAAGAAGAAGCTGGATTCAACAATTCCTCAGTTTTCTGCCTTCAAGTCTAGCCCTCTTATTCTCCCATACTGTTTTCCTGCCTTGGATGAGGTGACCTTTGTTCTTTATGGTTAGAACCCTTATCTGTGTGACAGAGGTGAGAAAATAGTCTAGAAATGAATGTTGGGTTTCTAGACATTTCCTCTTGTTACCAGTTATGTTACTGGTCCCATCATATCTCTGACCATACTACTTTTAACACTCAAACGCCTCAATCCATACCTGGCCTGACCCACGGAAGTTGGAGGAGTGACAAAAACACCTCAGGGTAGGATGAGGAGAGGCTTGGGAGGAGAAGGGTGGGCTGATAAACAGTTTTTTGTTTTTTTTTAAGAAAACAACAACTTTATGGTTATTTAAAATACAAATTATGGAAAAGTAAGGTGTGAACAAATCTTGACTGGTGGGAATATATAGGAAGGGTTCCTATGAGATGTGCATGGTTATCAAAGGGCATCATGGATTAGAGAAAGAGGATATCCATATAGAGTGAGCTGGGCTGCTAGCAGGAGGCTGAATTACTGCTGTGTGGCTGGGAAAAGGCACCACGTCATCGTCATCTTTGTTGTTGTTGTTGTTGTTGTTAGGTGTTGTCAAGTTGTTTCTGACTCATAGAGACCCTGTTTAGGGTTCCCAAGGAACAACTTGTGAATTTGAATTGCTGACCTCGTGGTTCAAACCGACCTTGTGGTCTAGTGCTTAACCCACAGTGCCACCCCAGGACTCTATCATTATCTTTTATGTCATTGAAGTGGGAATAATAATTCTTGGCTGTGAAATTCACAGGGTTGTTAAGAGTTGAAAGAGAGAATAAAAACAATAGCAAATTGTGAACAGAAAACCATTTTACAAATGTAAGGTTCTGAATGACGATTTTCATGTTCCTTTCTTGTCCTGTATCCTTGCAACAAAGCCACTTTTTGGGCAGAAACTTTATACCTTAGATTATACATTTTTATTTTAAAAACTCAAATTTGTTGTTGTTGTTAGGTGCCATCCAGTTGGTACCAAAACACAGTGACCCTATCCACAACAGAATGAAATACTGCCCGATCCTGAGCCAAGCTCACAACGGTTGCTATGTTTGAACCCATTGATGTTCACAATAGGTTGGGAGAAAACAGCAGGTTGAATGATGATATGGGCCTTACAATAGCGAGAAGGGCCCAGTGGACTCCTTGGGACTCTGCACTCAGCTTGCTGTCATCTCCTTGTATTATCCTGACACTGGGCTCTCAGTCACTTTGCATATGTTTTCACAGGGCTCTGCACTGCTGTCCCTAACACTATACCCTCTGAAGGGAGGGGCCAACATGATTTCTTTCCTATTGCTCCCTCCATGGAACTCCCCTGGTTCAGAGCACTGCATGGGGCAAGCTTGAAGCACAGAGGTTCTGCTCTTTAGATCTGGTTGTGTAACTCACAGGCTTGGAAAGCACATGGGCAAAAACTTTGGGCTTCTGCAGCCTGCGACATTGGCAATGCTGGACAGGAGCCGTGATGGGGGTGGTGGTGGGGTACAGAGGATGAGTAAGAAAATGGATTTTTTGAAACTTGAGGTTTTTAATGATCTGAGAATTTAATGGAAGGAATCATCAAGGGAGAGGACACATACACACATGCACACACACACGCACACACATACATGAGACAAAGATAACTCAGGGATCTTGGAGACAGAGGGATAATAGAATCCGGAGCTATCGGAAGAGCAGGGAGTGGGAAAGATTGATTGGAGGGGAGATGTCTGAAAAGTTTAACAGTCCCCTCCCAAAGTCCATTGTTGGATGGGGAGCTAGTGGGTGCTTCTCATCAGGGAGAACCAGGTAGATAAGGTAACATCTTGTTTCAACTGGTTGGGAGCAGAAAATGGAAGGAGAGGGAGAAGGCAAGGGCTCATGGGGGAGTTGGTGGGTAGGGTAGTTCTAAATATCTTAAATCAAAACTCTAAAGCGTCTGCTCCGCGCTATTATTCAAAGGTTCAGTGCATCAAAGATCTGTGCAAACATTACCACGTCTCTTAATTGAGGAGAAATAATGACCAAAAAATTAAAACAACACATGTTAAAGACTAACCGCAAGAGGGCTTGCCTATGGATAAAGAGAGAAAATGTAAACATGCCAGGTAACAAAAAGACGTGTGCAGAAACTGTAGAAATTGTATAGGAGGAAGCAACTCTTGGGAGGGGAACCCAGCTGGAAGCCTTGGAGTATAGGGGCTGGAGTTTTGTCTGAGACCAGGGAGCCAAGGGTAGAATCATGAGGGAATCTGAGATGCAGGAGAACCAGGCAAGTGCCAGCTAACTGTGGTGGGTTCATGTGGGAATGAGGTACTCATAAAGTCTGCTTCCACAGAAACCAGAAGAAAGTCCACCCAACCACCGGGCTCAGTAACTTCCTTAGAGAAGTGGGCTACCAGAAGGAGTCCTGGTTTGACTCACCTCTCTGACTGAGCCTGGAGGAGGCCAGGCTGACATGCATAGACAGCTGATGTGAAACTGAGATAGAGTCTATTCAGTGTGAATCTAGTGGGGCAGTCCTTGGTTGAGAGTGGGGTCAAGGCTGACAATGCAGGCAAAGTCATAACCTTAACTTTAGGTATGCCACTTAGCGAGAGCTGCTTTTCCAGATGCTGTGTGAGTGGAAATGCAAGAGGGGAAGAGTTAGAGGTCTGGAGGTGATGGTAGAAGATTAGAAGATGATTGGATCCCTGCCCCGGCAACTACGTAGAAATTTTAAATTTCCATTCTTTTTCTCATTCCACGTTTCCCATAGCTGCATCCTCCTATACAGTGTGAGTCATGCCAGGCTGATTGTAAGGGGAAGAGATAAAAGGATGCAGCAATCAAAACTTAAAAGAAAAAGGAAATCCTAGCTCGTTCCAAAAAAAAAAAAAAAAATTTTAAGAAAAAAAAATTTTCTAATA